ATTATTATTATTATTATTATTATTATTATTATTATTATTATTATTATTATTATTATTATTATTATTATTATTATTATTATTATTATTATTATTATTATTATTATTATTATTATTATTATTATTATTATTATTATTATTATTATTATTATTATTATTATTATTATTATTATTATTATTATTATTATTATTATTATTATTATTATTATTATTATTATTATTATTATTATTATTATTATTATTATTATTATTATTATTATTATTATTATTATTATTATTATTATTATTATTATTATTATTATTATTATTATTATTATTATTATTATTATTATTATTATTATTATTATTATTATTATTATTATTATTATTATTATTATTATTATTATTATTATTATTATTATTATTATTATTATTATTATTATTATTATTATTATTATTATTATTATTATTATTATTATTATTATTATTATTATTATTTCTGCAACAAAGGCAAGAGAGAGAAAAGGCAATGTATTTTCAACAAATGTGTGTATGACCACTCTCCCCGTCCTTGCACAAGCTCAAGGAAGTGTAGTCCTCGATCCTCGTGCCACCAATCACGCATCTCGATGCATGATAGCTGAGAAGTCGAATTGCACGACTCGATGTGAAATGAATGCACATATAAGCAAGTAAAGCCAACAACTCTATCATGGACAGTCAAGAGTGTCGGCGACCGAGAATCGAGGCACGTTTCTTTACTTGGAGCACGAAACGTCCCTCGTTTCCCGTGTTTGGGCTAAACCCTACTCCAAACACAATGCAATGAATAAGGATGGCATGACATGCACAAATGCAACTAGCATGCGATCCTAATGCAACGCGACCTAATCATGCAAACAGGCAAGGATTAGATGCAAACGCAACCTAGCATACGTAATGCTACAGACTGACATGGCATACACAATGCTAGATGGACTTACACCAATATGAGTGGACCTCAGCCACACTCACATCAGTGGCCATATGATGGAAATGAGACAACCGAAATACATGCAAACATACACAAATGCAAAGGACCGATCCTAAGGCACAACATGCAACTCTAACTAAGCATGGCAAAGGATGAAGTATGGCATGCAAACACTCATTTTTTAGCTTTGAAACATAATGTACAATGGTCCCGAATCATGCAAATATGTCACACAATGCATGCAAGATTGCTCGAATACCGAAACTAGTGAAGCGGGTTACACTAGAGGTACACAAAGCAATGTATAAATGGCAAAACTAGCCCCAAACAGACCCTAGGCAGGTCTGAAACAATGGAAAAATGGCCCAAAATGATAACTCAACATGCAAAGAAACGAAGCTCATGCAATGGTACGAAAACAAGGCATTTATGCACAACTCTCAAACACGTTTAAGGAGTGGAAATCATGGGAATATGGCATTCATATAAGCTCTGAAATATGATGTATAATGACCCCAAAGCATGAAAACACCTCAGTATATGCATGCAATAGACCTCAAATCTCAAAGCTAAGCATGGATATTGAACTACAAGCATACAAAACAAGCATCATTCAACCATGAGACCCAAAAACAGAGTTAAGGCAGTCCAAAACATGCACAAAATCAGTTTAAGGCATGGCCAAAAAGTGCTAACATGAAGGGCCAAAATAACATGCAACGTAGGCTAATAAGCATGGTTTACACTACATGTATATGAAGCACATGAGGGACCACCAAACCAGCCAAAAACAGAAACATGGCATGCCAAAATATGACCAAAAGCCCACTGAAACTCAGTCAACACATGTTAGAATGAAGTGTTCCTTTGAAAGGCCAATGAGAGGGTTGTTCTACATATGTATGATGGACACACAAAATGGAAAAACTACCTCTGGACAGAGGTTATGAGGGCCCTAAAACTCACTGAAAAGGGCCTGAAATGAGTCTAGGAAGCATGCAAGTAAAGGCCTCTTTGAAAGGCCTTGAAGAGGATTACTCTACACATGCATAATAGACATTCAACATGGCAAAAAGGGCTCTGGACAGAGCCTATGCAGGTCATAAAACTCATAAAAAGTGGCCTGAAACATGGCTTTGAAACATGCAAATAGGGGCTCCTTTGTAAGGCCAACAAAGCTAGTAAACAAAACAAGGGGTGAGAGGGTCACCCGTCTCTGATTTTAAGGCTCAAAAACACATGTTAGCCACTGAAATCCAAAATCCGCTGGATTTCAGTGGCTAAAAGGCCAAACCAAGGCCAACACAAATGCTCTAATGCATAGCTCAAAACAAGAGGAAATGAAGCATGCAAGGGGGTAGATGACCCCCAACAGAAAAATGGCCTTAAACAAACATGTTTAGAAGCTCAAAACAAGACTTTTTTCAGTTTATGACAAAGCCTAAATATGCTTGCAAATAGAGCTAAACTATGAAGCAAAATAAGGCTACAAAGAGAGAAATAGAGACTTACCCTTGTAGAGAAGAAGGCCAACAGCTTCTGGACCAAAATGGAAACTCTTCAACCTCTGAAAATGAGCTCCTAGGTGCTTAGGTTGACCATGGAGGTGTTGTGCTTGGAGGTGTAGTGCAATGGGGCCAAGAACTAGGAGTTTTGGACACCAAAAGAGATTGATATAGAGAGAGAGAGGTGTATGCCTTAGCCAAAATTTTTCAACCTTGGCTCATGAGGGAGAGGCTCCCTCTTATAGAAGAGGAGGTCCATAGCTTCTCTAAGAAGCTTGGAGCAAAGAGGCCAAGCTTCTAAAGGAAGCTAAACCAAAAGAGTCAAGCTTCTTGAGGAAACTAGACCAAAGGGGTTAAGCTTCCTCAAGAAGCTCAACAAAAGGGACCAAGCTTCTTTAAGAAGCCAAAATAAGAGGGTCAATCCTCGGAGGATAGGGCAAATGTCTCCCAGCTAGCGCAACTGGATAGCACTCAAAGAGACAAAAAAGTAGAAAGCTGGCCGACCAGTTCAATTGGTCGGCCGACCACTTACCCTGGTCGGCCGACCAGGGGTCAAAAGGTTCAAGTTGAGAAGGTGGTCGGCCTACCCATATTGGTGGTCTCCCAGGTGAATGCAACTCAATGGTGGTATGGGAGACCAGAAATTGTGGCTCAAAAGTGAGGGAAACCACTTACCTGTCAAGAAAAATCGGCCAACCGAGAAAAGGTGGTCTCCAAGAAGAAAAGGTGGCCTCCCACCCTACTACCACCTTCCTAACAATGAAACTAGGGTCCATGCCAAAAATGAACCTACACAGATGCGAAACGAAGGTTCGGGGGCCAAAACACGCAGTCGGGGGCCCCGAAAACTGACTATTAAGCATCGAAAGTGGCGTGCGACCACGAAGGTGGTCTTCCGGGCCACAGTATCCCTCTAAGGAGAGGAAACAAGGTGTGTGCCAAAAACCGGAGCAAACGGAGGTAGTTAAGCAGTCTCGAACCGAGGCACACGGCCGACGGCTCCGAAAATTGGAAACTGGTCTCCAAACAGGAAAAATGGCCAACGACCACGAAACGTAGCCTACGGCCACTGAGAGATGGTCTACGAGACCTCTTCCTCCCTTCAGGAAGAGAAAACAGAGAAAACAGGACCTGGTTCGCAAATCAAGGCAAGGCACGAAAAGGTTTCGAAGCCTGGAGGCAAGGCTCTCAGTCGAGACTTTGCAACCTCAGAACGAGCACAATATGCAACATCACCGAGCGCTCAGTCGATGACGTCCGAGTCTTAAGGTCGGTCAAAAATGGGGTGTCTACACTCCCTCAACTCTGCTACTCCTCACCGTGACCCTACTTTCTTAGCTCTGTTGCTCATCATCCCCCTAATCCCTAACTATTGTGATGCCTATCCCTTGTAGCCTTGCCGTCGCAATCTCATCATAGTCTGATGACCACTACCATCTTTACACCCAACACATCAACACCACCATACGTTATCAAACTAAACTATTGATGATGTGGCTGCCAAATTGAACTGTTCGAAAATATAGAATTGTTTAGTTTTTTTATATTCAAACAAAGGACAAATGTTTGATTTTTTTTAATCTAAACAAATCTAAGATGTTCAAATTTTTTATGTATGAACAACTCATAATTATTCAACTTTAACCAATTGAATAAAATATTTTTGTTCAGATGTAAATGTTCGAACATTGTGCAAATGTTCAACTCTAATTATCTAAACATATGTTGAACGAAAATTTTCTCTCAGAAACTATAGAAACGGGAAACAATAATACATTGCAAGTAACACATTGACATTTTCAGTGTTGTATTGTTCCAAAAGCAACAATATGAGTGTCATCTATGGTGTGGGCGGCCAAGGGGGTTGGTGGCAGGGGCGTGGAGGTTGAGGTGGATGGGCACGGGAAGGGTCAACGGAAAAGAAGAATAACGAGTAGGAGGTGGCAAAGACAATGGGCAGCAAGTGGTGATGGCTATGGTTAGGAATGGCGGGGTGGCTAGAGATGATGGGGGGGCTGGTTTGGATTGAGAAATGAAATGATTTGTATAAAGGATAGAAATATAATTGGCAAAAAGGAGAAATATGTAATAAAAAAATGTAGGGAGATGGTGTGTACTAAAAGGATTAATGATGTGTAAATAGAATTTTTTAATTTAGTAATATGTTTAGAAATGATGAGCTGGATTTCAATTTTAGGTTTTTGAATTAACAATTTTTCCATTTTCACTGTCACTTGTGTTGACATTTTTCTAATGCTTTCTAATATTCAAATTCAAGCTAAATTAAATTTGCTACTTTCGATCATTTTTTGTTTCTTTTATTATTTTCATGTTTAGTAATCTATTAGACTAATTAGTTGTTTTCTTTTCTCAATGAGGGGCACTTACTGTAAATAGGGATGTAAGCATTTGGGCAAATGCATTTTTATCAATAATCTAGTCTTCTCTTTGACAATCTGTCATGAATTCTAAACTATTTGTCTATCAGAACAATATCTTGTCCTGTTTAATATTCTGTTGCATCAAGCTACTTCCAAACGAGTCCATTCTAATCTAATAATTATGATAATCTACAAACATGACAATTTGAAAACAAAAGCACACCATCAGTCTATCCAACCGATAGTACACATACATGGGAGTTCAATTTATAGTCAACAAGATAAGAACTCATCAAGCAATTTCACAATACACAAAAACAGTCTTCATAACTCAAATTCTATGATACTACTATCCAGGAGTAAGAGAATATTATTTGAATTTACTGAGAATCTCAAGTGGTTAGAATTGGAGGAAGGAAATCAGCTTTAGTCCCAAGAACCCGAGCTTTGGTGTCTGGGAAGAACTCTGTTCCAGGCAGCTCAGTGACCTGTCCATCTGCAGTAACTCCAACAGGATAGGTGAGCAGGTGGCCAGGCAAGTCGCGTTCCAGTGTCTCCCAGGAATAGAGGTCCCAGTACTTTTCTGCAATCTGGTTCACCTTTCGAATGCAATCCAAGCTCTCGGGCTGAAGGAAGGAGTTGTCGAGCATGCCTAAGTGCTCATACCACAATGACATGCGGAAGCCATGGATCTGACCCCTGGCAGCCTGCCTGGTGGCTAGGTGATATGGTTGGAAGCCTCCCATGGCGATTTCTGAGTCCCTGGCACCATCCATTGACCTTTGGTTGATGTTGGCTGATCCAATGATTATGTATTCATCATCAACTACAAAACAAAAGCTAAGTGGGTGACTTTAAAAATAAAATTAAAAATTAAAAAAAATACTGTTGAATATGAACTAAAACAAAAAAATAGTTTTCTGTAACCAGATGAAATTTATGTTTAAAATATATCAGTTTCCATGAGTACCGTCTTTTCTTTTTGTCTTTTTTTATTTTATTTTAGCATCAAAATAAAAAAACAAAAACAAAATGTATACCTTTACCAAACAGGCCCATAGTAAACAATACAATGATAAAAATAAAAAAAATGCAAGACCAAAGAAAAGGCTAATTACTAGCCATCGTTACTTACTGTTCTATGTCAAGCAGAAATTTATCTTCCAACACAAAAAGTTTTGTTCCACTTAATAAATAGTTTAAAGTATAAATAAACCTAAAAGAAAGTAGAGATCTGACTGCTGGTTGTAGACAATGACAATCTTATTTTAAGTAGGTTTCTTCAATTCATTGAAACAAAGTTTTGGTGAGAATGAGTTCTTCAAACATCCGCCGTTTACATTTTTTTTGCAAAAACAGTTTCTGAAAATTTGGAAACAATTTGGTGTTTCCTAAAGGTGAGTTGCTTCCATGCATTTTTTGCAAAAATAGTTTTCGGCTACAGTTTGCAAAAGAATTTTGTGTTTTCCAGAAAATGTAAACACTACCAAACAAGCCCAAGGATGTCACATTGTCACCAGGTAATTGCAACAGAGTGGTGTGCTGGTGTGAAGAGTTTCATGAATTTCTAAGAAAGTTTTTGAAAGCAGGTAAACATAAAAATCTATATGATGGTTTACCTATCATCATCTTGGCATGAACATAGATCATGAACCTCCTAGCTTGCTGAGCTCGACTGTAATCTGTGTCGTTTTCCGGCCTTTCTGAAGGCACATACTCTCCACTCTTCGGTGTCTCCCTATTCCCAAGGCAAAAGAATGTCAAATAGTCTTTAGGGCTTGCATTAATTCCCTTGGCATGAATGGCTTGAGCTATATCAGTATACATCATCTGCATAGTCCTCCTTTGCCAATCCAGAATAGCCTGAACAGAAGAACTCTCCGGAATACCCTCTGGCCACATTGGAAGCACAATGTAGACAGTGAACCTTTCACCAGATTCAATCTTGCTAAGAATCTTCAATGACAGTTCCTTTGGAATCAGATGCAAAGCACCGATGTCTTCATCCTTGATGTCACTAGAATTCCAACCGAAACAGCTCCCAAGGAAATACTGATTCTCAATGTAAATAAAATTCTTTGCACGACGAATGGCATTGATGTAACCATCTTGAATGCTCCGGTCAATGATGTTGTCCTTCCCACTGATGAGCCCCGATTTAGCTGCATCTTCGGGGCTTTCAGGGAAGCCAAAAGCGGCTCCACCATCAATGGACCTAAACAACTGAACATTCCATATTTCATTGTCTTCTGGGTACATTACCGGAGAAGGAGGTATAATTATGTTCTCGAGTTCTCTTAGTGCAATAAGCACTTCCTTCCCACCTTGCTTCCTCCACCTCTGCTCAAAATTGAAGAGGACATCCCAAGCAATAGGCCCTTCTAACCTGCAATGAATGTCGTGCCATGGCTCCCTCGGACCACCTTTGTTAATAGAGGCACCGGTGAAATTGGGCTGATGAAAATCATTGTGGTGTACTGTATCCAAGGTCCTGAAAAGGGAATGGAAGGGAGTGTCATATCTCCCATCACAGAGATCAATTCCGCCGACGAAGCTCACAATTCTCCTTTTTCCTGATCTTCCACTGGGCATCTCACCGTCCACCACAACAATCTTCTGGTGATGAGTGAACATGGTAGAAATCTCCAAGTCCTGAACAATGCTCCGCCCATCATCAGGGTTCCGAGGGCATAAGCAACAGTGAACTTTAGTGCCATGGAAAAACTCTTCAGTTTCTTCGTCATGAGTGGCCATCAAACCATCCTTTTTCAATAACTTAACCGAAGTTCTATCATCCCAAACAAGCATCAGAACCCTCACACCTTCGTTGGCCTTCTTCTTCAGAAGCTCCCCTAAAGTTATGTCACCTCCTGGCTTCGGCCTTCTCGTGTCCCTTACCAGGGTGATGTCAGTAAATACAGACCACCCTGTAATGTATATGAAGTGCTTCGCATTAGAAATGGCATCAAATATGTCTTCCCAGCATCGATGTGGCTCATAATTTTTTCCCCCAGAAAGAGGAATTTTAGGTACAAAGTTGTCTGGAATGTGAGAATCTTGATAAAGAGTAACCTTGCATCCATTTCTCTGAGTGAAAAATGTGTAAGGGACACCGGGAAACTTTGCACTTCTAATCCCTCGAGACCAAGTACGTTCTTGAGTAATCTCAAAATATTGTAGTTTCACATGGATCTTCGAATGTCCGTGAAGGGGTTTATGGTCATTATCGACAATCTCAAGCCATCTATCGACTTCTTCTCCATTAAGGAGTTCTCGGACAGGCATGTAAGCTCTTCCAATCAGCTCTGCCCCAATAGGATTATCTTCTTTGATTGTGAAGATAACATTAGAAGCCATATGGGCACAGTAAATGTGGAAAGACTCGTACCAGCGGGGATTGGAGCGGTCATGTTCTAACAGCCTGGTTCGGCCAACTCTGGCTTTTTCTAAATCTATGGTAGCATAGAGTCTAGAAGCAGTTTTATTGAAACCGACAGTTTGCTCAATGTTTTCCACAATCTACAGGTAAAATTCATGATTGAAAAGTAAATCAACTTAAAAAATAGAAAAATAAATCTCTATATGAGGATAAATAGTAAATCAACTTTGATCTCTTAATGAAATAAAGTCACAGCCAAAGGGGAAACAATTCAACATGTCCATATATGACATACATTTTGTTCCTTTCGTGCATGACTCTAAATCGCAAGAAATATAATACCAATTGTAACAAAAATAAATAAATAAATAAACATGTTTGAACATTTCAATTAAACAATCATCGTATTTGGTTAATTCATTTTAGCAATTGGCATTCTTGTGAATCCAAAATATATGCTACAGGGAACATAATTCACTGAACAGACAGAAAATTGAATTCTGTTGACTAGTGGCTTCAGAAAATAATATCCATTGAACAAAACTCAATATTCGATAACAATTTAACAAAGCTTGAAGTTCTTGAAGACTCTGATGCTGGATTGAACACTGAATGCATATTATAAAATGACCTACAAATTCAAGAAGCATAGCATGTGTCCCCTTTACCATCTCAAATTATCTACATACTCACTCTGTGAGTGAGGAACATCAATGATGAAAATTAACGCGCTCTGTACCTATTTTATAAATCCCCAAGAAAATTATTTGCAAAAAGCTGAACCAATATTATAATCCTCCTTTCAAATGACTCGATTAGGACAACAAATTATTTCGCAGAATTATCATTGTACTAATACAACAGCTTAATGTCTCATCCAATTAATCTTTGAATTTCAAATCCCAGTCTGTGAATTAATGACCATAAATAATGAAAATTAACCGGCATTGTACCTATTTTAAGGAAAATGTTATCATTAGATCTAAATACAATGGCTCCCACGTATATTTATTACTTTGTGAAGTGCTAAGAAAATCTAGTCAAACGTGTGTGTGTATAAGTATATAGTTACTCTTTTTTTAAATCTCAACAAAACTATTTAAGAGGTGGTACACAACTGCACAAAACATCAGTACAGTCTAAATAGCCTGCAAATAATCAATATATGCCCCGAACTGTAGTGTATGGTTATTAAATTTGTAGCTTAAATAAGTAACCATGACTAGCATGTAGGCAGCAATTGGGTAATCTTGGAATTGCTGAACACTTATTATAATTCTCCTTTCAAATGACTTGATTAGCATGAGACAATATTTGCAGATCGAGACTGATAAATTGGTCAATCTTTACAGGAATTCAAGCAGAATAGGGAATATAGGACACAATTTGGATATAATTGTGTTTCAAAATTGGTTCAAAGGGCATGCTTCTAGTCATATTTAGAGTAGAACACAACCAAGAGAAATTATACACACCCATCGCATTTTGTCTCGATGAAAAAATCATCGATCCAAACATAGTTTAAAATCAGAATTTTGTTGATTAATTACCCAAAAAAAGAATTTTGCTGATTGATATGTACAGCAAACATAAAACATTACACAAACATAGACAGATAGATAGATAATAGATAGATAGATCCTAGAAAGCTTGGATACTCCTCGGATACTAAAAATTATATTAAAAAGTATGCACAATTAGAAATTAAATTAGTTTTACATTTGAACACTATATGAAACTTAATTGATATTGTTACATTTCAACATCCTTAACATATTCATGTGTTGGGTTTTTTTTTTTCAGAAAATTTCCCGCATCAATCAATTAATCAATCCATATGATGCTTCATGGATCTCATATCATAATGATTGTAATTGAAACGAGAGAGAGTACCTTGCTGAAGAATTTGCGACCAAAACCAGCGTGAAGTTTATCAATCTCATAGATAGTGACGTGCATAGTGCCATGAAGCAGTATCTGCGCCATGTTAGTGTCTGTCTGTGTCTCTCTCTCTCTCTGTCTCTCTGCAAATGACAAAACTCCAACCTCAATTACTTCATATACATACAATACAAGAACTATACTATATGTTTATTTATAAGAAAGGAAGATCAAGTAAACATGAGCACACAGACCTTTGAATTTGAAGCACTGCGAAAACGAAACAAAGTCAGAAACAGCAATAGGAAAAACTAGTAGTGAAGATGAATATCCGGCAGAGAACAGAGAGATGGAATAGAGAGAGAAGCAGGTTGGGGAAGTCAATCCTATCCGTAAATATAAATACTTATGTTTATGTTGAATGGGATGTATGAATGAATACATGGAGATCTGTATTATCCATATAATAATAATATATGTGTATGTATTATATTTGAGAGAGTGTTATGCAGGGGAGGAGGGAAAGCGCCGTGGACAGGCTGGTTTAGTCGTTGTCAATCGACTTCATTCCTTTTGCATCGTGGGTGTCAAAAGCAAAAAAAAATTTTAAGTGAAAAAAAATAAATAATTCAGTGGGTTTTATTTTAGTTTCTGAATTTAGTTTTTTTTAATTCTAAGTGAAAGTAAATAAATAATTCAGTGGGTTTTGTTTTAGTTTCTGAATTTAGTTTTTTTTTGTAAATTGAATTTTTTGTTTTAATGAATATTTTTAAAATTTTAAGTAAATTTCTTATTTTTTTAGATACACCTTACTTAGATGTATTTATATAATAAAATATTTTTAAAAATATATTTTTAAAAATTAATAAATACATAAAAATACAAAGAATGTATTGAATTTTTGTTTTTTATATTTTTGTACTTTTGGTATTTAGTAAATTTTATAAAGACTTTTTCACTAGTATTATATTTTTTAAGTGTATTTATATTAAGTGTCTAAATTTTTTTTTAAAAAAATGCTTAAATTATTAAAAATTCATTGAAAATAAAAAAAAATACGAAAAATAAAAAATAAAATTTTCTAAAAAGCATTTTCCGAAAACTAAAATCAAACAAACTAAATATATTTTTGGAAAAAATACAAGAAAAGCTTATAGACCTTTATAACAAAACAAATTCTGAATTTTAATTTTGTCAATTTAAATCTTTAATTTTTAAAATTTTTTCAATCTAATGTTTTAGATGTTTTATATATATCTACATTGATTTTAATGATTATAGTATTATTTTTTCATTGGTTTTAAACGAATGGCTTATATTGAAAACAAACCAAAAATTAGGATTTACCAAACCAAACCAATCCATAAGTCCCATCAAATAGGGTCGGCTACATGAATCATTTTTCTCCACGCCGTCCTATCAAAAACTATTTCGTTAGTCAAATTAAATTGAAAAACTTAGGATTTAAATTGAAAAAATTAAAAACTCGAGATTTATTCTATTAAAATGGTCAAATTCTGGGATATTTTAATATTTTTAAAGGTTAAATTTACTTTTTATCTCTGGTTATGAATTTTTTTTATTCGTATAACATTATTATTATTAAATTAATTATTATGTTTCTAAACTATCAATTGAGTTTATTAAGATCCTAAATTATATTCATGAATTATTGATCGAATCTATTAAGTCCGTAAAATATTTAATTCAAACATATTAGTCCCAGAAATGATTCTAAAAAATAAAATACAAATACATAAATATTTTAAATTAGTAAAAGAACCCATCTAATTAAGATTTTACTTCAAAAAAAATTTAAATTTATATTTTATCTGTAAAAAGTGTTTTATTTTGAAAAAATTAGTGAAACATCCCTATCTAATTTTGTATAATAAGAGAGGTCCAAGATGTTTTTTTTTTTTTTTATTAACTAAAGTCCCTCAATGTTTTCATATAGAAAATTCGATTCAGAGAAATTTTGTTTGACTCAGAGAAATTTCATCGGAAATTTCGACCTCAACTCAGAAAAATCTTTATGGTATGACCACAGAGAAATTTCTCAGAGTTAGGACGAAATTTCTCTGAATCGAACAAAATTTCTGAGTCAAATTTTCTCTGTAGAAATGCTAAGAGATCTTAACTACAATGAAAATATTACATATTATTTTTTTATAAAATCTTAATATCAGGGATCTTAAAAAAAAAATTTCTTTTTTTTTTTGCTATGTATTTAAATTGATATCAAAGTCATATTTTTTAGCCTTGCGAATAAAATTATATAAGTATTAGATAAACTAAAGACATAGAATCAAATAATTTAAATAATAAAATAAATAATACATTAATTAAATTATTAAAAAAATTTAACAATAAATTTAAAAATAATCAATTATAAATTATAAATGATATACCAAACACATATAATCAAATAATAATAATAATAATAATAATAAACTTTTAAGACAATAATAATCAACCGCGAGTTTGATTCCTACTGGAACTCCAGTCACGTTTTATTGGTTAAAAACTTGGTCCCCGTGGACTCATCAAGCCAACAAACAAGTTACACACACTTGGGACGGCAACGTTTATTTTTATGTTGGGAAAATTACAAACACATTTTTTTTTTTATGTTTACTTAAGTTATAAATTATTTATAATTTTAAAAATTATATTATGTTTTTTAAAATTTTTAATTTCATAACAAATAATTTTTTTATTAATAAATTATTAAGTTAATTAATAATTTTTAATAATATTAAAATTTTATTTCAATTTATAATTCAAATAATTTTATTATTGTATAAGTGAACAGTTAGAAATTTCACTTTTTCAATTAATTATATTAAATAAAAAATTCTGACAGATATGAAAATGTGTATTTGTAATGTGTATTTGTAAACTACAAAGAATAATTTTTATTTTAAACAAATATGAAAATGTGTATTTGTAATGTATTCTTTTATGTTTTTAGACAGGGACGGAAACGTTTTTTTATTAAAAACTTGTTCATCAAATAAAACAAATCAACTATGGGGCAAATTATAAGATTCATCATTTTAATTTTCTTTCTCATAAATATTAAAAACAAAATTAAAAAAATCATCTTAAATAAGACATTTTAACAAATTAAGGTCCCGATTGGGAATAAACTATTTTAATAATTTTTTAATTTTTTAACTAAAATATAAGGTAAAAAAATTTATATGTTTGGAATGACTTTTTTAATGTTTTACAAAAAGATGTGCAAAAGTAGAGAAAAAATAAAATATTTAATTTTTTAGTATAAATTATGGGCTTTTTTAGTTTTTCTGGTAATTTTTTAACTTTTAGCCTTCCTTCTCCAATGAGACCTAAAATAACTAAAAAGTTAAAAAATCAAAAAGTCAATTCACATTCTAAACGAAGCCACACCCTCCTTTTTGGGACCCCATTGTGACCATTTGTCTTCCAGTGTGGTATAGTTTGGGAAAATTATTTGGTATTATGGGAATAAATATGTTTTCGTATGATATTTATTAGTTAGAATAATAAGATTTAATATTTTTTATGTTTTTTATAGAAATTTTTTGTCAAGCGCCAAGTGATAAATTTTATGAGCAACATATCATCGAAAAATCACTCATAATTATGACTAATTATGGTTTTTATTTTAATTGTAGTGTTGGTTATGTATTACGATTATAATTTTAGCCAGGATTAATTACAATTTACCTCCTTATTATTTAGCTGAAAAACACATTACCCTTTTGTCGTCTATAAATATACACATAATTCTCTTATGGTTATAATTCTCTTATGGTATGAAGCAAATTGTAAAGTTCAACTCCGTTAATAAATTTTGTGAAAAGTCTATAGGGAGTAGATTGGAGGGTGCTGTTAGACTCAAGGAGGCCTATCGAGAGTTTCGTTTTGATAATCTAAACCGTTTAATATGTAAAACTTGTCGAGTACTATATACTTGTAAAAAATTACATTGATCGAATATCGATAACTATCTCATCAAATCAATTTTCTATCAACCGTTAATTTGTTCACCGTCCATTTTTTTTTATAGAAAAACTGATTTGATTACATAGCTATCGATATCCGATCAATGTGATATTTTACATACACATAATAATCGACGAGTTATATACATTAAACTGTTTAAATTATCGAAACAGGACCCATAGTAAACCTTCACGGACCCAACAACACCCTCCAGTCCGATCTAAAACTAGAGGGAAGCTACTCCCAAGTCTATAATACCCTAGGGTGTGTTTGATTGAATAGACTGGATAAAGGGAGATTAAAATTCATCGAACTTGAATCTTGAGACTGTGAACCCCCGGACTATTTGGTTGGATTGGATATGTATCCTGTGTTTGTTTTCTCATGGGATTAAATGTTTGGAAATGACTATTTTTAGTAAATCTAATGTTTGGTTGGACGGACTGGATATGATAAATGAGCAAAAAGTTATTTTACCATTTTTCAATTGTTTACTATGCAATAGCAATATTAAATATATCTTTAATATTTTAATTATTTTTAGCTAGATTAAATAAAAATTTATTTTATTTTATTTTTTACACAATTAAATAAATTTACTTTTTAAAAATTAAATAAATAAAATATCAATAAAAATATATGTTATTTTTTTAATTAAAATTTTAAATAAATTTATTTTTAAAAATAATAATAATTAAACAATGAAATTAAATAAAACATCTATTAAAATTTAAATAATATCTATGAAAAATTATTTTAAAAAATTAAATAAATAAAACATCAATAAAAAGTTAAATAAAATTATTTTATTTTTAAATTAAGACATTTAAATTTTATTAAATTTTACTAAATATAATACATAATTAAATAATAAACGGTCAAAATGGTCATTTTATCACATAATCCCAGTAAATAATCCCTTCAAAATTGTCCCACACCCCCCGATAGTATAATCTCCCATATGGGGGACATAGAGTCCAGCCGAACTCCATGTCTAGCAGACTAAAAAAAAAACAAATGATAGGCATCTCACTCCTTCGGATAAACAATCAGAACAGTATCCCCTTAATCCCCCCAATCAAACACACACTTATTCTTTACTCTAATTTTCTTTATTATAATATCATTAACCAAAGTTCCTTCTCTCTCCAGTTTTCTTCATTTTCTTACATTTCTCTCTCTCTCTCTCTCTCTCTACTGGATTTCACAGTTGAACTGGCTAAAATCCCCACACACATACATATGTATAGTTATATATATACATCCAAAACCCATGGCTCTTCTCTTTCAGCTCACTACCATAAAAACCCACATAATCATACATATATTTATGTACATCTTTTATGTATAAGGGGGAATCAACACAGTAGATTCGAGGAATATAACAGTGGGCATTTATGTCTATATTGGCTAATGAAAAAGTCATGGGCAGAAATTAAATAATAAAAATGCCTATTTTGATGATG